TTTGGGGACATTTGGGGGGATTTGGGGACATTTTTTGGGACATTTTTGGGACATTTGGGGGGATTCTGGGACATTTGGGGGCATTTTGGGGACATTTGGGGTCATTTTGGGGAGATTTTGGGTCATTTTTTGGTCATTTAGGGACATTTGGGGACATTTGGGTCATTTTGGGGTCATTTTGGGGCCATTTTGGGTCCATTTGGGGACGTTTTTGGGACAATTTTGGGAGATTTTGGGTCATTTTTTTTGTCATTTTTGGGACATTTGGGGATAATTGGGGCCATTTGGGGACATTTTGGGGAAATTTGGGACAGTTTGGGACATTTTGGGTCATTTTTTTGTCATTTTGGGGACATTGGGGACATTTTTGGGCTCACTTCGGGTGTATTCCTCCCCGTTTCCGGTTGTCCCCGTGTCCCCTCCCCCGGTGTCACCGCCCCTCCCCCGCTGTCCCCTCAGGCCACGCCCCCTCGGTGCCACGTCACATCCCCACCGTGGGGGACCCCGAGGTGGCCCCGAGGTGTCCCCGGTGGCCGCGCCGGCCTCGGCACCCCAAGGACGCCGTGACGTCATCGAAGGGGGCGGGGCCGAGCCTCAGGTCAGTGGTGACGTCATCGAAGGGGGCGGGGCCGAGCCGCAGGTCAGTGGTGACGTCATCGAAGGGGGCGGGGCTGAGCCGCAGGTCAGTGACGCCGCCCGTGGTGACGTCATCGCCCGACGGGATGACGTCACCCAACGGAATGACGTCACCCAATGGGATGATGTCACCCAATGGGATGTTAAGGGGATGACATCACCCAACGGGATGACGTCACTCAATGGGATGATGTCACCCAATGGGATGACGTCACCCAATGGGATGACGTCACCCAACGGGATTACGTCACCCAACGTGATGACGTCACTCAAGGGGATGACGTCACTCAAGGGGATGACGTCACCCAATGGGATGTTAAGGGGATGACATCACCCAACGTGATGACGTCACCCAATGGGATGTTAAGGGGATGACGTCACCCAACGGGATGACGTCACTCAAGGGGATGATGTCACCCAATGGGATGTTAAGGGGATGACGTCACCCAACGGGATGACGTCACTCAACGGGATGACGTCACCCAACGGGATGACGTCACCCAACGGGATGACGTCACCCAACGTGATGACGTCACTCAAGGGGGTGGCGCCACATAATGGATGACGTCACTCAATGTGATGACGTCACCCAATGGGATGTTAAGGGGATGACGTCACCCAACTGGATGACGTCACCTAATGGGATGACGTCACTCAATGTGATGGCGTCACCCAATGGGATTTAAGTGGGATGACGTCACTCAACAGGATGACGTCACCCAACTGGATGACGTCACACATTGTGATTACATCACCCAACGTGATGACGTCACTCATTGTGTTGATGTCACTCAATACGATGACGTCACTTAATGGGATGACGTCACCCAACGTGATGACATCACCCAATGGGATGACGTCACTTAATGGGATGACGTCACCCAATGTGATGATGTCGTTCAATGGGATGACGTCACTCAATGCAATGACGTCACTTAATGGGATGTTAATGGGATGACGTCACTCAACGCAATGACGTCACCCAGTGGGATGACGTCACCCAACGGGATGACGTCACTTCATGGCATGACGTCATTCAATGGGATGACGTCACCCGGTGGGATGACGTCGCACAATACGATGACGTCACTCAATGGGATGACGTCACCCAACGGGATGACGTCACTCAACGGGATGACGTCACTGCACGTGATGACGTCACCCTCAGTGTCGCTGTCACCCCTCCCCCCTCCCCAGGTCGATGCCACTCCCGAGGCCGTCGTCCCCCGGCGCCGTGACGTCACCCAACGGGGCGTCACGTGACGCCATGACGTCACCCAACGGCGTGTCACCTGACGCGATGACGTCACCCAACGGCGTGTCGCCTGACGCCATGACGTCACCACCCAACGGCGTGTCACCTGACGCGATGACGTCACCCAACGGCGTGTCGCCTGACGCGATGATGTCACCCAACGGCGTGTCACCTGACGCCATGACGTCACCCCCGGGGCCACCGCGGCTCTGGGGACCGAGGGCGGCGCCGGAGGTCACGGCCAGGTCAGTGTCACCTGTGGTGACGTCATCGTCACCTCCCTGGGGGGATGGCGTCACCCCACGACGTCATCGCCACCCAATGGGATGACGTCACTCAATGGGATGACATCGCTTAATGGGATGACGTCACCCAAAGTGACGACGTCACTTAACGGGACGTTCACGGGATGACGTCGTCGTCACCCAATGGGACGACGTCACCCCACGACGTCACTGTCCCCCCCAGGCCCCTCCCCCCGCCGTCGCCGCGCGGTGACACCAGCGAGGACGAGGACGAGGCCGCCGCGGCCACGGCGACGGCGTCGGTGACGTCGCCGCGGGGACGTCGCTACTTCGGCTACGCCCGCACCGTGGTGGCCTCGGCGCTGGCCCTGTCCCCTCCGTCCCCCTGCCCCCACATCCAGCAGCTGGACGGCACCGATGACGTCACCAGGGGGGTGACGTCGTCGTCGTCGTCGGTGATGACGTCATCGGGAGGCGTGATGACGTCATCGGGGGGGGCGGCGCCCCCCGAGGGGCTGCCCCCGGACATCGTGGAGTTCGTGCTGAGAGGGGTCGGCGGGGACGGGGAGTGGCAGGGCCACCACCATGGGGACATCGATGGTGGTCATCGGCTTGGGGACATCGATGGTGGTCACCACCGTGGGGACATCGATGGTGGTCACCGGCTTGGGGACATTGATGGTGGTCACCACCATGGGGACATTGATGGAGGTCATCGGCTTGGGGACATCGATGGAGGTCACCGGCTTGGGGGCATTGATGGAGGGCACCGGCTTGGGGACATCGATGGTGGTCATCACCGTGGGGACATCGATGGAGGTCACCACCGTGGGGACATCGATGGAGGTCATCGGCTTGGGGACATTGATGGAGGTCACCATGTTGGGGACATCGATGGAGGTCATCGGCTTGGGGACATCGATGGAGGTCGCCACCATGGGGACATCGATGGTGGTCATCGGCTTGGGGACATCGATGGTGGTCACCATGTTGGGGACATCGATGGTGGTCACCACCGTGGGGACATCGATGGTGGTCACCAGATCAGGGACATCGAGCAGGGCCATCACCATGGGGACATCAAGCAGGGTCACCGGATCATGGACATGGATGGAGGTCACCACCCTGGGGACATCGGTCAAGGTCACCGGCTTGGGGACATCAATCGAGGCCACCAGATCATGGACATGGATGGAGGCCACCAGATGATGGACATTGATCGAGGCCACCACCATGGGGACATCGATGGAGGTCATCGGCTTGGGGACATTGATGGAGGCCACCAGATCGGGGACATTGATGGAGGTCACCACCTTGAGGACATCAGGCAGGGCCACCAGATCATGGACATTGGTCAAGGTCACCGGCTTGGGGACATCGGGCAGAGACAGAGGCTTGGGGACATCGGTCAAGGCCACCACCCTGGGGACATGGATGGAGGCCACCAGCTTGGGGACATCAGTCAAGGCCACCAGATCAGGGACGTCGGTCAAGGCCACCACCACCCCCCTGGGGACATCGATCGATGCCACCGCCTCGGGGACATCGGTCAAGGCCACCGCCTCGGGGACATCGCTCAGGGCCACCAGCTTGGAAATGTCCAAGGCCACCACCTCGGGGACATCGATGGAGGTCGCCACCACGGTGACGTCATCCATGGCCACCACGGTGACGTCATCAAGAGCCACCATGGTGACGTCATCCATGGCCACCACAGTGATGTCATTCAGGGCCACCACGGTGACGTCATCCAGGGCCACCATGGTGACATCATGAAGAGCCACCACCACGGTGACGTCATCAAGGGCCACCACAGTGACGTCATCCAGGGCCACCACGGTGACATCATCCAGGGCCACCATGGTGACATCATGAAGAGCCACCACGGTGACATCATCAAGAGCCACCACCACGGTGACATCATCCAGGGCCACCACGGTGACGTCATCAAGAGCCACCACCACGGTGACGTCATCAAGGGCCACCCTGGCGTCACCGGGGGCGGGGCCAGCGCCCCCAACGGCCACGGGGACACCTTGGGGACACCTTGGGGACGTCCCAAGCGCCCGGGGGAGGGGACGGGGACGGAGAGCAAGAGAGCACGGCTGGAGCTGGACGTGGGGGACAGCGGGTGAGGACACCTGGGGACACCTGGGGACACCTGGGGACATCCTGGGGACATCCTGGGGACAGCTGGGGACACCTGGACACACCTGAGGACACCTGGGGACACCCGGGGACATCCTGGGGAACATCTGGACACACCTGGGGACACCTGGGGACAGCTGGGGAACATCTGGGGACATCCTGGGGACACCTGGGGACAGCTGGGGACACCTGGGGACATCTGGACACCCCTGGGGACACCTGGGGACATCTGGACACCCCTGGGGACACACCTGGGACATTTGGGGACATTTTGGTCTCACCTGTCCCCTCCCCCCCCCC